CTTTGAAACTGAACAGACTCGGCCTGGCCTTGGCAGCTGTGTGAGCTTGGGCTCAGCCTCTGCTTCTCCATCTGTAAAATGGGAATAAAGTTACCTCCCAGGGTGTGGTAAGAATTAGTGATAAAGTACGTGAAGTGTCTGGAACAGATCCTAATAAGCACTCTCTAAATGCCTGCTGAAAATAGTGCTGACAATCTCACTCGCAATGACTGGAAAATACTGGGAGAAAAATTAAAAAGAAAGGCTTTTATTTCTGCTCCAGTTTCGTGCTTAGGCATGGACTCTCAGATATTTTTCTTATCACATTTTTATCAAGAAAAATACACTTGTAAAATTTTTCCCTTTTCTGTCTCCCTGACTTCCAAACTATACATCTTTCATGTGTTTCTAATCTTCATTCCCAGATCACCATGCCTGGAGCTATCCAGAGCCTGAAAACTCATTCTTGATTCTTCCATCTCTCTCCACCTGCATATTTATCCAGCCACCAAAATCCCCCTGGCGCTGCTCTGCCTTTGATAGCTCCCTCCTTCTGTCTTTCCTTCCAACAGTATTTACTGAACACTTACTTTGTGGCAGCCACTGTTCTGCAAACTAAAAATACAGCCATCAGTAACAACAACAACAAAACCCCAAGTCCCTATCTTCATAGTGATTATGTTTTTATGAAGGGATACAGGATAAAAAGCACAATGTATTATATGTCATTTGGTGTTCAGTGCCATGGAGAAAAATAATGCAGACAAGAGGGATAATGCATGCACACACACACACATATATATATATACTAGGAGAAGTTTGCTATATCAGTTAGGGACCTGAAACTGGCCAGGCAATCAGCTTAGGTTAAAAGAACAGCTCCCCAGGAGCAGATAGGTAAGCCTGGAGTTGAAGGGAGAGGTCCACAAAGAGAGAGAAAAGTGAGAATTGTTGGTGTATAGGTGGTATTTAGAGCCATGAGAATAGATGAGATCACGAAGGGCAAGGACATAAAAATTGAAAGAGGTCCAAGGACTTATCCTTGGGGCACTCCAACGCAGGACAGGGAGGTAAGGAGAAGCCAGCAAAGGTGAATGAATCAGAAGGAAACCCGAAATCATGATGTCCTGGAAGCCACGTGAAGAAATCAAGGAGAATCAAGGAGAGGGTATGATTAATTGAATGACCAAGTAGATAAAGTAAGGTCAGAAGTGGGGACGGACTATTGGATTCCGCAATATGAAGTCACTCATGACCTTTGGTAGAGCCATTGAGGAAAAAAAAAAAAAGATAAGAGAAAAGGTTTGCTTTGGAGGGTTCAAGAGAGAATAGGAGGACGGAAATTGAAAACAGTATCTACAGATTTTTAAAAAGTAGTTGTGCTGAATAAGGAAACAGAGGGTGGAACAGTAGTTGGAAAGGATATAGGATCAAGAAAAATTTTTGTTTCATTTTATCTTGCTTTGATTTTCAGATGGGAGGATTAATGGCCTAATTGTATACTGAGAGGAAAAATCTGAAGATAGGGAAATTGACAATGGAAAAACTACAATTGCACTGCCTATGAATACCAAGGGGAGATGAGTTTCGGAGTACAAATGCAGGGACTGGCTTTATCAAACATAAAAGCAAGGGCAGTGCCTCCATAATAACAGGGAAAGCTCAGTAGAGGGTGCAGACGCAGGTAGGTGGGAGTACATGTGGGTTCTTTGTTGAAAGCTTTTATTTTTTTCAGAACCAGACATTTCTTACAACATTTCTATTCTGAAGCCTAAACTGCACTATTCCCAGAATTTATTTCTCCTTTAACTGTGTTTGTATGGAACATTACAAATTACAGAGCTGTCAGAATAATTATCAAATTATAACTATGTATTTGCCTTTCCCTTCATTTTCCACTATAATGTGAGCTTAATCTTCTTATGCAGCACCTGATACAGTGTCTGTATCAAAACAGACACTCACTAATTGCTTGCATCTGGTTCTTTCTTAAACTCCATTCAATGGCATTAAAATATTTGTAACCAGGGCATACTCTAAATGTCAGTACTACTATTAAGCATATGCAACATAAGCCAAGTATATGATACAGGATTTGTCATACAACAGAAAGAGTAAAGAAATTCTTCCCCATGAATATTTTATACACTTTGGACAAAAAGTTAACTTGCAGGTTGTCATGATGCCATTAAGTATGGAACCTGAAAATGATAGTCACACTACCCAATGTACTTCCATGGAATAAGGGGCATGTTCTATTTGAACACATTTTAAAACTCTCACATAATTTAGGGCTTTCAGCACCAGGAAGTATTTTTAAGAATTTCAAGCAAAATAAAAACTAACTGAAATTTGGAATGATAAAAAGTTGACTTATTACTCAAAACATTATTTCTATATGCCCTAGCTAGTTTGGCTCAGTGGATAGAGCGTCAGCCTGCAGGCTAAAGGGTCATGGGTTTGATTGCAGTCAAGGGCATATATCTTAGTTGTAGGCTTGATCCCCAGCCCCGATTGGGGCAAGTGTGGGAAGCAATCGATGAATTTTTCTCTCTCACATGGATGTTTCTCTCTCTCTATCTCTCCCCCTTCCTTCCACTCTCTAAAAATCAATGGAAAAATATCTTTGGGCGAGGATTAACAAAAATATATATAATTTGTCTACTGTTCAGTGTTGTTACCTATAAAATTTAGGTAACTACCATGAGCCATTCAGAAACAGTATCTGTGTATCCTTGTAACATAGGCCCAGATTTTCCTTAAAGAGGGATTGCTGAATTTTTCTCATCTGTATACAGACACGGCTATGCCACATGCCATCTAATTCTGTAATCTAGTCACAAACCCAATAAATGGGTTAGACCCAGAACATGACCAGAAACATTAAATTCACTCCATTATCACCAACTATTTTCCCACAGAGCACTTATGTTGCTAGGCAGTTCTGCCAAAGGAAAGCTTGTAATTAATGATAAAAAAAAAAAGGCTTTCTTTGGTCTTATCTCTCTCTCTCTCTCTCTCACACACACACACACACACAACAAATACATGCATATATGAAGAATTTTCCCCAGAGACAAACTGGAACTCAATTTTTGTAATAAAATATTGTTTTCAATGTTTACATTTTTATTATTTAAAATCAACTTCTCTCCAATAATTCAGATAAGTAATTAAAAATTATGATCATGGAGTGTATTCTTAGTAACTACCCACAGGAGGAAAATTTAATTCTGCATAATTCCCAAAGACAGAGCTTAGATGATATAATTATCCTTTTACTTATGTTACAGGGATAAAGATCCACATTAAAGCTTATTTAGTGTCATTTCCAAAGTACTATAAGCAGCAAAGGTCATGAGATTTGTGACTGAAAAATTATATAACATTTAAAATTAATACAATATAGATTAAAATATTGATAAAAATGAAAAATAAAGTTAAATCACACTCCTATAGTATTTACTGTCTATGATATTAATTTCTTTACTATCCAAAGCTTGACATAAACACTTTCAAACAATTTTAAAACATTTTTAATGCCCATGTCTTGTCTCCTTAGCTAGAATAGAATGTAAACCCATAAAATGTGGTATATAAATACAATGGAATATTATTCAGCCATAAAAAAGGAGATTCTGCCATTTGTGACAACCTGAATGAATCTTGAGGGCATTATGCTAAGTTAAATAAGTCAGACAGAGAAAGAAAAATAATGTATGATATCACTTACATATGGCATCTTAAAAAAAAACAAAAAAGGCAAAGTCAGAGAGACAGAAAGTAGAGTGATGATTACCAGGGATTGCAGGCTAGGGGAAATGAGGAGATATTGGTCAAAGGGTACAAAGTTAAAAGTTATACGATTAACAAATTCTGGAGATATAATGTATAGCATGATGATTATAGCTAATAACACTATTATATACATGAGTGTTGCTTAGAGAGATCTTAAATGTTTTTGCTGCAAAAAAGAAATGGTAATTATATGACAGATTGGAGGTTTAGCTAATGCTGTGATGATAATCATTTTGTAATAAGTAAATGTATCGAACCAACATATTGTTCACCTTAAATTTACCCAGTGTTATATGTAATTATATCTCAATAAAGTTGGGTGGGGGGCATGGAGAAAAAGAATTTTCCTTCAGCAACTATTTGCCTATCCTAGAAAACAATGTGTACAGAAAAAGCAAGATATATAGGATATCTGCTTGATGTTTTCCTTTATCAACTAGAGGCCCGGTGCATGAAATTCATGCGGGGGGGGGGGAGAAGGGGGGGAGGAGGGGTACCTCAAAGCTGGGGCTGTGGGCCTCTACCAAACTGGGGAACCCCTGGGAAAAGGCCGACTACTGGCAGTCGGACATCCCCTCTCACAATCCAGGACTGTTGGCTCCTAACCGCTTGCCTGCCTGTCTGCCTGATTGCCCCTAACCACTTCTGCCTGCCTGCCTGGTCGCCCCCAACTGCCCTCCCTGCTGGCCATCTTGTGGTGGCCATCTTGTGACGACATCACGCAAGGGCGTTGCACGAGGGTGTGATGCCACCTAGGCTTTTATTATATAGGATTTTTAGAATAAGTTGGTGTTCTAGCAAATTCTAAAAGTGACAAATGAGATTTGAAAAAAGATATCAGTAATGAGTTGTGGATTTTAATGTAGTTGATGTGTATGGAGCCAGTCATTATACCTTTTGATGCTCAAATTGTTGCATCTTTGGCCAGCAGAACCTGTTTCAGTTTCTATTATTATATAACAAACCACCCTAAAGTGTAACTGGTTAAAGTAACACACAAACAAAAAGACCACTCTGACTTCAGTGTACAAAATAGTTCTCCCATCTAATCCCACATAGAAACAAGAGCTAACCTTATCCCAAATTTAGAACATTTAATTTGAGATAAAATAAACATGGCTTGGATTTCAGGAGGATTCATTTAACAACAGAGATATCTCCCAAAGTATCTGAATTAGAGAACTTAAAACAAGAACATTATATATTTTAATTTTTCAACTTACCTGATATAAATAATCTTCAAATACAAAATAATAATCATCATTGCTTGCCGTCAACTTCACATCCTAAAATTAAAAGTAGAGACTGCTGAAAACAACCTAAATAAATATGTCTATAGTGCTAAGACATAAATGTAATATCTGGAAAGAATACTAAAATGACTTTACTACTTTATGTATGACTAGAGGCCTGGTGTACGAATTTGTGCACCAGTGGGGTCCCTCAGCCTGGCCTGTCGGATCGGGCTGAAACCAGCTCTCCAACATCCCCTGAGGGGTCCCGGATTGCGAGAGGGTGCAGGCCAGGTCGAGGTACTCCAGTGGTACACGATCGGGGCCAGGGAGGGACACGGGAGGTTGGCCAGTTGAGGAGGGACGTGGGAGGGCTCCAGGGTGTGTTCGGCCCATCTCACTCAGTCCCGATTGGCCGGACTCCAGTAACAAGTCACCTACCAGTCAGACTATCTTCCCCCTGGTGGTCAGTGCATGTCATTGCAAGCGGTTGAGCAGCCTTAGCATATCATTAGCATATTATGCTTTGATTGGTTGAACTGACGACCAGACACTTAGCATATTAAGCTTTTATTATATAAGATTATAAACTTCTCCATTAAATTTTATCACTGCTCTAAATTTGCTTGACTAATATAGAATGTGATATATTATTTGACATTAAATTGCTGACACTTTTAAGGTTTCATTAGTAATTCCTTAGTATTTATTTCAATTCTATCTCCTTTTAACCCAATATTTAGGTATCTTAAATAGTGGAAAAACAGATGTAATCATAATATCCAAAAACAATCATAACAATCTGGCCCCAAATTACTGCTCCAATCTCACCCTCCACTGTTCAGGTCCACATTCTTGCCATACCCTCAATATACAAAAACTCTGCCATGCCTTTGCAATCATTCACTTGCAAGGCATCACTTATTACAAAAATCAAACAAGTAAGACAATGTTTATCTTTAAGAAGTCTACAACCTCATCAGCAAGAAAACATACAGAGTAGAAGAATGGGAACAACTACAAAGAAGTAGTGAAGAAATCCTTGATAATATTGGTCAGTCTACAAAATTCAAGTGAGCTGTTGAGAAAAGCAGCAAAAAGAGGAGGAAATGAGTATGGATGACGCTGGAAGTGGCTGAATGTGTGCTAGGTCTGGAAAAACTTAAAGACACCAATTAAGAGAGAAGAAAGTGTCCAGTCGGCTACATCAGAAGACAACATGGGCAGAGAGGGAGATCCATTCTCCACGGGGATGATATTGCCCCTCAGGGGGTGAGAATGGTTCTGGGGGGCCAAAAATTTTACATATTACAATGGTTTGTGGACCTCCAAAGCTCATCCTTATCCAACGAAATCTTTTCTTTGGTATTTAACTTTTACATTAGAGAAAAATTAGTTATCTTAGGGGATAATAAAAAGGGAAAGGTTGGCAAACACTGCTATAAGCTGTCAGGTCATAGTAAGTGATGGAAAACTGTAGATGATGTGGATAAAACCACTTTTGTAAAAAAAATACAGTCCAGAGAGAAACATTTAGTAATTTAGCTTAGGGAGGGTTTGATGATGTTCTATATTTAATATTGCCTTGTTCCATTCATTCCTTTAACTACTAAAATAATTGACTTTATTTTCAGTTAAATTAAAAATGAGTCTTTGCCAAAGGGAGCTGTAATGAAACTTCAAATAATTTTTTAAAATGCTCATTCCCTCAAGGACTTATTTTAATAACATTTGGAGTTGTTTCAACAAGATCAGCAGAGATCAACTAACACAAATAAGGACTAATCAGAGACAGATTTCTTCCTAAAAACACTCATGTTGTGGACAGTCAGGATTGATTCTGCCAAAACTTATATTCAATTCTTCAGACACAAACTGTTTACCTCTTTCTCACAGCAGATTTTATTTACTGATTCAAACTGAAATTCATCCTGGCAGTAAAGGCAACTCTCCCTGATTTTCTGAACTCCTCTTGTGAGTCTTCTCTTATTTGAATAGGAAAGGGGTTGAAGGTCTTAGAGCCAAAAGATCTCTTGCACTGTTGCTAAAATAAATCGCCTGAGCACAATCATAACCTCAAAATTAACAGTGGTATCTCTGATCCAAATCTATGTAAAAACTCTGAGAATTGAGACTTTTCATCAAAAGACTCTCCCTCTTAACTCTGCTCATCCTTGCTCCCTGAGAGCCTAGTGGTTAAAAGTGTGGCCGAGAAGTCAATTTACCCAGATTCAAATCTTGTCTTTGCTACGTAATATGTAAATTTAAACAAGTTTCTTTACTCTCCCTTTACCTCGGTGCCCTCAGTTGTAAAATGCTAAAAATAATAGTACTTCCTGTTTGGTTATAACCCGTGCCACTATTGGCTGGCAGTATAATATGGAAATTGTGTTGGTCCATATGCAATTTTTCTTTCAAAAAGGGGAGCTAAAACAGCAGGAGTAGAATTACAGTCATGAAAGGATGCTCCCTATTACTGTATTTAAGAATGTTAAAGATGAATGACTGCACTGGGTGCTCCCTCTCCAGAAAGGCACACCCAGCCTTTGTTGCTTTACTTCCTCCCATGCCCACCTTAGCAGCAGCCCCTACAGCTCAGCCTACCACTTCAATCTACATTATTTCAGCATTTCTACTTTATTATTTTTGTACATTTTTAATACCTCCTTCAGGAGCAGCCTGCCTGAGCTATCCAATTCATCTTCCAAGCTACCAATTATTGTCCTTGGTAATACTCTGGTTAAAAACTGCAAAAGCTACCCAACCCTCTTTTTCCCATAAGATCTATTTTTTTAATGCATGATTTTGTAGAATGCAATTTTTCCCAAGAAAAAAATACATTTATAGCCTAAGTGCTGGTATCTGCTACTCTTAAGGTAGCTGTCAGAATCAAATGACAATCTATGTAAAGAGTTTGGAACACTCTATCGCACACAGTAAGCAGTCATTACTCATAGTTGTCATGTTCTCCCAGACAAATCTTCAGGTCCTCACTGTGTAATCTTCTCTTCCCCATTTCTGAGACCTGAAATAATATACCCTTCTCTTCTATCTTACAAGTTCTAAATTTAAAATCCAACTGTTTTAAATAGCCTAATTATTAATTCAGAGTTAGTCATACCCTCTATCATGCTTGCAGCATCTACATCTCAACTTCTTATCAGATACCTGGAGACAAAAACTCAATGCATCCCTATTATAACACTTGAGATGTGCTTATCCATGTCTAGAAACTAAAAGAAATAAAAAATAAAAAATGACTTCAATACAAGATAATAAACAAGTAGATCCACAAGAATGAGATAAATAAGATAAAAATATCATAGTCTGATATTTCTTTCAGTTGTTTTTTAAGTTTGTGCCATAAACTTGAAATTTTAAGGATAAGAAATGGCTATCATTCTCTTAATCAAAAAAATGGGAGGATCAGGAAAGGCTCATGAGGACAGGTTCAAAAGAAAAGAAGATAACATTGGATAGAGACTGAGAAATTTGAAGGTCAACCTTAATTTTATAAGTATAATGATCACTTAGAATTATTTTTCAAGGTTAATGTGTATCATTATACATAGTGCAGGCCCTGCATGTTAAAGACTCTCAAAAAAAAATTTAATGACAATAATGAAATGAAAAAACTATGAAAACTTTTACTTACTTTATAAATTAGACTGTCCACCAAAAGGTCATGTTGTATCACATTGGTCTTAAGCTGTTCATAATACAAGATATCCTAGAGTTAAAAGTAAAACAAAAAAGTTAAAGGTCAATCACACTAACAAAGTCAGCCTCAAACTTTAATAATAATCATTAATCTATATATATATAAAAGCCGAAGCGATTGTTATGACAAAACGATCGGAATGATTGGAACGACCAGTTACTATGATGCGCATTGACCACCAGGGAGCAGACACTCAACACAGGAGCTGCCCCCTGGTGGTCAGTGTGCTCCCACAACAGGAGAGCCACTCAGCCAGAAGCCAGGCTCACAGCTGGTGAGCACAGTGGCAGTGGCGGGAGCCTCTCCCGCCTCCGTGGCAGCGCTAAGGAACAGCGAGCCAAGCGGTAAGGAATAAGCAGGTGGGTGGTAAGGAGTGAACAGGCGGGCGGTAAGAAGCAAGCAGGCAGGTGGTTAGGAGCAAGCAGGCGGGTGGTTAGGAGTGAGGGGTCCTGGATTGCGAGAGGGATGTCCAGCTGCCGTATGTCCAACTGCAGGTATTGGGCATAAATTGGCAGTTGGACATTCCCCTGAGAGGTTCTGGATTACGAGAGGGCACATGCCGGGCTGAGGGACCCTCTGCCCCCCCCTGCACAAATTTCATGCACCAGGCCTCTAGTCTATCTATATAAAACCCTAATATGCAAATCGACCTAACGACAAAACAACCGATGGAATGACCAGTCACTATGACATGCACTGATCACCAGGGGGCAGATGCTCAATGCAGGAGCTGCCCCCAGCCCGCAGGCCCCAACTGGCAGTGGCAGTGGGGGCAGGGCCGGTGAGCAGGCAGTGCCAGGCCAGCTAAGGCGGGTGTGAGCAGGGGCCCCCTCGATTGCCCCGCTGGTCGCCCCACAGATTGGCCCTGATCGCCAGTCAGGCCTAGGGACCGTACCGGTGCATGAATTTCATGCACCACGCCTCTAGTAGTATTATAAACACTAAGAGGATAGGGGCTATAATTTACTCACAACTACATTTTCTACACCTGGCCAATACCAGATGCTCAATAAATATATCTCATTTACTTACACTGAGTTGCCATCTTTATTTTTCCTACTGTAACAACCCATTTCTACCACACATCTTCATGAACTAAATTGACAGACCCCATTTCTTAAAAATTTACTGACTGTTCTGTTGTATGGATAAATACACATTATCTAATTATTAATAACAAAGACTTCTATGTTAAGAACAATGATTAAATTATATAGGGTGTCCCAAAATTCACGCAAGATTTGCAATTGAATTCAATTGCAAATCTTGCGTGAATTTTGGGACACCCTATATTAATCTTGTCAGATAACTCAAAACTATAGTGTTTTAAAATAAAAAAGAATGTAAATAATAGACAAAGAACAAAAGTATTTCCATTTTGAATAACTGGTCTGAAAAATAAAAATCAATAGTTCAAATTTGGCTTATCCTTTTCCTTCTTACCTCAGGTTGACTGGAAATATTCAAAATGAGAGCCCATAATTCAGCTCTCAGTGCTGTGGGGCTTCCTTGTCTGACATACTGTTGAGCAGCAGCACTATCTTGTTCTGCTAGAACTGGCAAAAGTATATTAAAGTCTCATTAGAAATTTCATAATTTAAAAAATAACAGTGGAATCTTTAATTAAAAATCTTTTGCGAAGCCAAAATCTCATCTTTATGTCCAACATATTTATGTCACGTCATGATAACCTTCCTTTGCTCTCTGTATTTTGATGTGGCCCTATTTACAGCCCTACAAGTTTTAAGCCTTCAGCTCCTCCACCTCCTACCCGGCCTGGTAAAAACTGTTAATGAAGTTACCGTGAGATAGCTTTGCTTTAATTATAAGCGTGGATCTGAAACTAGTGCTGCACATATATAATAATTTTGGGGTTCCATGATCAGGTAAAGTCATATCTATAGAAACCCTAAGTTTCTTATGCACATTCTACTAAGTCATAAATGTTCTAGTATTTGGAGTTAGTATGATTTTTGAAGTATTTGGCTAAAAATTGTAAAGGATATAAGATAACCATTCTATTAGATGACTTCTTAGTTACCTTCCAAAAACAACAGAAAAGAGGGTTTTTAAAAGAAAACACCCCAAAAATGTGCTAACCTTTTAAGGAAGCCAAAATTTTTCATAAGCAGCCAAGTTCACAAAATTGATATATTATACTTTTGCTTTTTTTTTCTTCATTTTTGTGTGTGGGTCTTTTTAAATAAAAATACCAGCTATTAAGTCTGGAAATAAAGCCCTCCCCCAAACAAAACAAAACAAATAAAAAGAGATATTAGATAACTGCTGACATTTATCTAACAGTACTGTTTCCTTATATTTTCTTCTTAAAAGAAATCATATGCTAAATGAAAATGACAAAACCAAACCAAACAAAGAAGTATGAAATTAAAAAATAAAATTTTAAATTTGCAATTGTGTTTAATAAAAATGTCAACTCATACAAATGAAGTTTTAAAAATAAATACGATTTTGAACAATTATACCAGGGAGTTTAGAATATGACTATATAATTGCCATAGAAGGGTCATTCTGACACAAAGACCTATTTGTAGTTCATATTTCAAAGATAAAACAGGATTTACAAAAACAAAGAACTAATCTTCAGAAGATGGGAACATTGCTTCCCAGAACACTAGGCGCCGCTCCAGCTATTAGGTCTCGGCATGATGAACAGTCCCAGTAAGTGTGATGGTTACATTTTCTCCTGATGCCAGAGCATATTCGCATTAACATTAATGGGAAGTGTGTGGGCGCATCAGAGAGAGAACCTACCTCTTTGATTTTGAAATTAAATTCTATTGCTGAATGGATTAAGCTAACATCCTTGAAGAATATGTGTCTGCATTTATTTCCTTTTTAGTGAACCATCTGTGTATGTCTTTATCTGACATTTATTGATGAAGCCAAAATGATGCATTTCCCTTCTTTAGAAAGATTCTCATTATAGTATCTATGCAGTTAAATATTACTCCTTTTTAGGGTGTTAGCTCTTTAGAGATTAAAATTCAGTTTGGGGTGGGGGTATATGACACAGACATTTACTTAGGACTGTGTCTCATTTTCAGAAATTATCATAAGTAATCAAAAGCTTACCTTTTTGCCCAATACGTACATGCTCATTTTCAAAAAGTTCTAAAAAAAAGATAAAATAAAATAATTAAACATAAATATGATCAGCCACATTTAAAATAATTATGGGTATATTTTTCTGGTATTAATACTTTTAATTATTCTAAAGCTGAATGGCTCTATAGAAAAGTATAAGAATATTTATATTCATATGCATAAAATCATTTTTCTATATTGTTTAAAGTTTGTAGAAATTAAGAGTTAAGTGCATTTAATTAGAATAAAAAATGACAAACTACTTTTCTTTTGTTAAAAGAGAATATCTTCTCAAAACACAAAAATGTTTCTGCTCATTCATCTTTGATTTTATTCTTAAAAAAGCAAAATTTTGGGTGATTGCCAGAGGTTGGGGTGGAGGTGGGGGCGAAATGGGTAAATGGAGTCAAAAGATAGAAATTTCCAGTTATAAAATAAGTCATGGCATGTAGTATACTCCATGGTACCTATAGTTAATAATACTGTATTGCATATTTGAAAGTTGATAAGAGAGTAAATCTTAAAAGTTCTTATCACAAGAAAAAATTCTGTAACTATGTATGGTAAATGATGTCAACTAGACTTACTATGGTAATCATTCTGTAATATATACTAATACTGAATCATTATTTTATACTCCTGAATTAATATAAAGTTGTATGTATTAAAAACCATGTTGATGTATCATTGGCAATTATATTCTCTCATACAGTGGGTTTCCTTTTCAATTTGATGCTGGTTTCTTTTCTGTGCATAAGCTTTTTCTTTTTATATAGCCCCATTTATTTATTTTTTCCTTTTTTTCTCTTGCCTTAGGTGTTGTATCAGTGAAAATTCTGCTACGTGAGATGTCTGATATTTTATGCCTTCATTTCTTCTAGGATTTTTATGGTCCACAACTTACATTCAAGTCTTTTATCTATTTTGAATTTATTCTTGTATATGGTGTAAGTTGGTGGTTTAGTTTCATTTTTTTGCATGTACCTGTCCAATTACCCCAACGCCATTTATTGAAGAAACTGTTTTTACTCCACTGTATGCTCTTGCCTCCTTTGTTTAATATTAATTGAGGATAATGGCTGGGGGAGATTTCTGGATTCTCTGTTCTATTCCATTGATCTATATGCCTGTTCTTGTGCCAGTACCAGGCTGTTTTTATTACAATGGCATTGTAGTATAGTTTCATATCTGGTATTGTTAGCCCTCCAACTTTGTTTTTTTCTCAAGATTGCTGCGGCTATTCATGGTCTTTTTTGGTTCCATATCAATTTTTGGAGTATTTTTTCTAGATCTGTGAACTATGCCATCGGTATTTTAATAGGGATTGCATTGAACCATAGATTGGTTTAGGTAGTATGGATATTTTAATGATGTTAATTCTACCAATCCATGAACACGGTATATTCTTCACTTGTTTATGTCTTCCTCTATCTCTTTTTTCAACGTTCTGCAGTTTTCTGAGTACAGGTCTTTTACCTCCTTGGTTAAGTTAATCCTAAGTATCTTAATTTGTTGTTTCATTTTAACTAGCTATGATTGCTGAGACTTAGTAACCAAAGAATCAAAGTTTGTCAGCCAATTCTTGTCTCTATAAAAGTGGATAATACTACCAGGTGATACACTGAAAGTAGTACAAAATAAAAATACTTCTTTAGAGAATTTATTTGATTATATGAAATACAATAATTTTGCTTTCCAAGTACCATACTCTGGTCCAAGAATAAGAAGCCCAAAGAAGTCAGAACCAGAATTTCCAATCTGTAATCTGTGTTTCTCAAGGAATGCTCTGAGGATCACTATGTTAACAGATGCAACTACACTAGGAGATCTTGATTGGAAAAAAAAGGTTCTCTGGTGATATGTAATTAGAAGATGCTAAGATGAAAGTTTACTTAGGACTTCTCACAGTGTTTAAGATGGTAACACACACTGTAACTGTATATCTTAAAATATGGCTTAGCCTTTCCCAAACCTTATTTGAAAACAAGATCCTCATTTTCACTGGGCATATGGTTAATGTTTCATGGAACACACTCAGGAAATGCTGTGCCAAATGAAGATGCTTTTTTCTTTCTGAAATAACAACCTGAGGAAATGTCTATTTAGCAGAATCCCACTTAATAAGATTCATTATCATGTATATTCAGACAATAATATCAGAAATATGAGCCCCCTTTTTCATGAAAGAATGCTGGTTCTGCTCATCCTTTCCCCTCATCACATAGGTTTTATCAATGGTTTCCATAGTAAGTATGTGTGTGTGTATTTAAAATAAATGCATATTTATAAGAATTTATAGAAATAATAAATGTCTGATTTTTGTTATTATTATTATTAAATATGGATTCTACATTACAGTGATAAGGACTCTTCTATCAACTCTTATGAGAAATGCAGTTCAAATATAAAAATGGAAAAACAGTATGGGTAAAACATAGGTAATTCAGGATTTTAAAGGTAAGGAGGAAATGAGGGGAATAATATGGAAATTATATGATTGTCTAACTACTAAGCTGTACACCTGAAACCAATACATAATAAAAAAGTCAAATAAAATTAATTATATATTTTTAAAAGATGAGTAGGAAGGATATAGTTTCTGTAAATCACACGTAAACTTAAGCCTAAATATGAAACTTGCCTCTAGCCCAGTGGTTCTCAACCTTCTTAATGCCGAGACCCTTTAATAAAGTTCCTCATGTTGTGGTGACCCCCAACCATAAAATTATTTTCGTTGCTACTTCATAACTGTAATTTTGCTACTGTTATGAATCGTAGTGTAAACATCTGATATGCAGTATGTATTTTCATTGTTACAAATTGAACATAATTAAAGCATAGTGATTAATCACAAAAACAATATATAGTTATATATGTGTTTTCTGATGGTCTTAGGCAACCCCTGTGAAAGGGTCGTTCGACCCCCAAAGGGGTTGTGACCCACAGGTTGAGAACCGCTGCTCTAGCCAAATACTATTAGCAATATTTTCAAAATGTTTAGCATTACATTTCCAATTTAATCAAAGCCATAGACATATACTAAAAAATAAAAAACTATTTTTCACTCCAGGCAAAAGTAGTTTTATATGACCTCATTTTTCTTTCCAAGTAATTCCGTTGCCTAGCAATTCTCAAGACAGGCAAAAATTTTAGTACTATACCACTAAAATCAAGCTCATTGGATGAACACTAATTCAACCCCCTTTTCAGCAGTCCTGCTTTGAAAAGTCAAGGGAGCAAAAATAACTGCATCAACTAACAAGATTTTCAACTCCTCCAGCCGACTTAGGTGCTCTCTCTTCTGCTCCAACTACCCCTTGTATATAATAATAGCCAAAGCCAGGCGAGTCTTATCTCAATCTTATATCTTCCCTAAAAACAAAAATTATGTCATATTATGTATTCACTAGTCACTGGCCCTTATCAGGATCTCACCCACATTTGTTGTACTCTGAGTGAATCAAAGAACTATACTCTAAATTAAGAGAAAAATTAGGTTTTCTAAGCATAGCTATTATAACTTTAGAATGATTTAAAACAATTTTTAGGGATTTTTTTCAAAAGTGAAAAACATAGATATCATTCAAGGTTATATTACTATTTCTTTCCCCTTTTGTTAGTTATATATATATGACTAGAGGCCTGATGCATGAAATTTGTGCAAGAGTAGGCCTTCGCAGCCATGGGCGGCTGCTTGGATCCCTCCCTTACAGCCATGGCGGCTGCGGCCCTGGCTTAGTCCAGAAGGACGTCCAGAAGGACGTCTGGTCTAACTAGCATATTATGCTTTTATTGTTATAGATTATCATTTTCCATGAACAGAAGTATAAGTTAAGATATCTGTCTCAGTCTGTTCAAGCTACTGAAACAAAACTAGGTAGCTTATAAATAACAGAAAATCATTTCTCACAGTTCTGGAGGCTACAAGTCCAAGATCAGGATGCCAGGATAGTCAGTTCTGGTGGGGATCCTCTTCCACGTTGCAGTGTAGCCTTTTCGCTGTGGAAGAGGCTGGGGAGCTCTGTTGGGCATCTTTTATAAAGAAACCAATTCCCATTCAGGAGGGCAGACTTCTTAATTTTGAATCTTAGTTCTACCACTAGTTTTTGTGACTTTGGGCAAGTTATTTGACATCTGTACTTCTTCAACTTTAAAATGGTGGTATTTCTTCTATCTCACATCACAGAAAAAATTAAAACCATAATACAATACCACTATTTATCACTAGGATGACTAAAACAGAAGATGGAATACACCCAGCATAAGCAAGCATACAGAGCAACTACTGTTCTCACACACTGTTGATCGAAGTGTAAACTGGTACTACCGCTTTTAAAATTTCTTTGGCAGTTATCTACTGAAGCTGAACTTACGCCAACCCTAGGACCTAGAAATTGCATTCCCAGGTGTATACTCAACAAATATTCACCAAAGACACACATAAGGTTGTTCATAGCAGCCTTATTTGTAACAGTCCCACACTTGAAACTTCCCAAATACCCATCAACAGTACACTGCATAAATAAATGTGTATGGTTTGTTTATACAACAAACACTATAATGCAAAAAGCCCAAAATATTTATAAATACACACAGCAATATGGCTGAATCTCACAAACACAATAGTGAACAAAAGAAGTCAAATATCAAAGAGTACATAACAAAACTTTATATGTTTTAATTCATATAAAGTTCAAGAACTGGCAAAACCAATCTATGCCGGGAGGAACTGAATAGTGGTCTTTGACATGGATGGTAAAGATTGAAGGAGGTTAAGAGGGGGATTCAATTTATTAATCTGTATTTGTCCAATTAATAAAAATTCCTTGAACCATTCACTTATGATATACACTTTCCCCAAGGCATTAAAACTAGTATTTTTTTAAAAATATATATTTTATTGATTTTTTACAGAGAGGAAGGGAGAGGGATAGAGAGTTAGAAACATCGATGAGAGAGAAACATCGATCAGATGCCTCCTGCACACCCCCTACTGGGGATGTGCCCGCAACCAAGGTACATGCCCTTGACCGGAATCGAACCTGGGACCTTTCAGTCCGCAGGCCGACGCTCTATCCACTGAGCCAAACCGGTTACAGCACTAGTAATTTTAAAGGAGGTAATAAACACACCTTATAGATTGCTGAGAGAGTAAAATGAGACAATATACATATAACACATAGTATATGCTCAATAACTGTTTATTATTATGTTTGTTATTATTATTAAGAATAATAAATATCCAACTTCCTTATTTTATAGAGGAAGAAACAAGTGCAAAGATGTAAAGCGACTTGTCCAGGACACACAGCGAGCCAGTGGCAGATGAGAGTCTACAAGTGTTCCCTGACACCTGTCTAGTATTATTTCGACTACAATACAGGCCTCCCGCATTTAAAGCAATTTTTACTTCCTTTTCATTATAGCTAAATATGAATCTGGGCTTTTATAAAAACCATATTGTACTTATACACAAAAAGAGAAAAGTTAGGGAAATTTTCTAGATGATTAAGGTTTAAGAGATAGTAATTTTAAAGCCTGAGTTTATTCAAGGTGGAATGTCTGTATTTGTGTAATTTGGTGCTATGAAAAATAATACAAATAAATAGTGATGGCCAGTAAAGGGAAATATGAGTGCTGCCAATGAAGATTTTGCCAAGAAAATAACTGTGTATGTCCAATGACTTAACGAATTTATTTTGGGCTTCAAATAAAAAGACAACATCAAGTTGCACTCTGATCATTACAACATATAGAATTCTATTCAATAGTTAGTAGAAACCAAGGAGAAGCAAAAGCATGCTTTGTTTTCAGATATAAAAATGTTACTAGATTCATTTGGAAATAACAAGATAAATTTTTACCTCGTTCTCATTTATCATTGATCATATGCCATATGGGAGAAATACTAACCAGGAGGCACTTGTGTAGAATCATCTATACCTAGTTGTCCTGTAGTTAAGCCGAGTTCTACAAATAATTCTTTCTGAAAAACAACACACACAGAATTAACATACATCTCAGACTTTGCTACATGTAAAAAAACAATAATTTTCACCTAAACATCAGTGTAAATAAAAATCACAATACAAAACGAATCTTTGCTTCCTTCAAACATCTAAAGAAAAGGCCTGCTCTAGCCAGTTTGGCTCAGTGGATAGAGCGGACCAAAGTGTCCCGGGTTCGATTCTGGTCAAGGGCACACACATACCTCCTTTGCAGGCTCCTCCCCGGCCCGGGCCCTGGTCGGGGCTCCTGCAGGAGGCAACCAGTCGATGTGTTTCTCTAACATTGATATTTCTCTCTGTCTTTCCTTCTCTCTTCCACTCTCTCTCTAAAACTCAATGGAAAAATATCCTCAGGTGAGGATTAAAAAAAAGAAGAAGAAAAAGAAAAAGAAAAAGACATTATTGAACCTAGTAATGCACTGATTCAATATTAAGGAGCAGAACAACCATGATTTTTTTTGCTACAGTATTGCTATGTAACATTTACATTTTTTATTTTCATGAGAAAAAAACATGAATAGAAAAGATAGAAGCTGTTAGGAAATATCAATATATAATGGGAAAAAACTTAAATATACAATATTTCTCCAAAGGTAGAGCCTTTAGTAGTATTTTTCTTTCTCCTAATTTCTTTTACCTAAGAAAAATTTTTACTTTGATGCCAATGTTTTAAAAAACTAATTTAAAAATAGTTCTTGATTTTTTGTCTCTTTAAGTAATAGGCTAATCAGTAAAGTAAGAAATGAATTATTCTTTGAGGAAAGAAATATTAACATTCAACTCTTTCCTGAAACACACATCTGCATGCACTATATGCAACAATTGTCAATTCTAATATCATTGTCTAAAATTAGCAATATAATTGTGTATCTATGCTTTCTATGGTACTGTACTTCACTCAGCTCTTAATCAACTAAGCAATGAAAATATCCAAAACAACTTAAATTAATTTTTAAGTAAGATTAGACTATCAAGTGCTCTGCTAAAATAAGAATAAATTAGATTTATTCTCCAGACTTCCTCTACTTATCTAGTAATGTCTAAGGAAAGTAATCATGTTTGTCTGTTATTTTTAAAATATATAACAATCCCATGTTATTTGTATTATTTTTCTTCCCTAAGTAATTAAATATTTCTATTAATATTTAATTGCCTCAGTGTTTTGTTACTATTCAATTGCTAAAACCAAACTTCCTTCTTCTTTAAAAAATAAATTTTAATCCTTCCCAATTACCTATTATTATTTAAGTTCATAATTTACTAGTGTCCCTCACAAGACAGTTATTGAGCCTAATATGCACACACATTTCATTTTTGTATTAATTTTAAATAACTACCATTATATTTCAATTCTTAACTAAACTTGATTTTCATCTGTATTTTAAAATAGCACTGCATCATGTTACCAATTTTTCAGATTAAAGAGGTAAAAATTTAATGTTATTCTTCCATTTTCAACCATTGTCTTCCATTTATTTTAAACTCTTCCTTCATTAAAATCATTACAATTAATGACAATGTATTTGATTTTTTAAAATAAATATGATCTTCATATTACGGAGGGTCTTAAGTCCAATAAACATTTCAATATTAGGTTCCATAGTCACAATGGGGAATTATACTTATGCTAAGACATGTGAGGAGCATAAAAAAACTCTGCACATCGTTTTCTATTTCACTGCTCTGGACTATTTTTTATTCAACATCAGTACACCTGGCCCCTAATCTCAGATTTCCTTCAAAAACTCCCCTAAAATATCGTGCCTTCTGGGATACCTTCTTTGATATTCCAGGCTGATTTGGGTAACTCTCTATGCATATGGATTACCTGTTTCAACCTCTACCAAACCAAATAATCACATCGTATTAAAATTATTTTTTTACTTGTCCATCTTCCCACTACCCCGAAGCTCCTGGAAGACAGAATGGCTCATACACATCTGCACTCCCAGAACCTGGATGGTGCTAAGTGACCCATAGCGGGGCTCAATAACATTAAACCACACCACGGAGCTCTAGTTCCACCTGCTGCCTCCACCTGGCTGAATTAGTAAACAGAAGTTAGTGTCTGCAACTATACAGGGATTTCCTTTTAACATGGATGAGTCTACAAAACACTGTGACCTAGATTTAAGGACCATCCAGTATAGTACCTCATGACTCACTGAGTCTCACCAAGTTCAATACTCATACAGACAGACCACGGACACAGATAGACCATGCATCCTGCAGTCAGAATCATTACACATCCAGGCCATGGGATTCAGGAACGGCAGGGACAACTATCCCTAATGACCACAGGAGGAGAAGGACTAACCATATTGTCAGCAGGTATAGCCACAATTTCTGAAAAATTAGTCACAGGCTTTTGTTCTTCAGTAACTAAGAATGAATCCACATCAGTTCCAGGTCTCTTCAGACAGACATATGACATAATTAGTCCCCCTCACACACATGCTGAACCTTTACATACATGATCAACTTTCCCTGCTTCTTTCTAGCAAACTCCTTCAAACTTGTTTAACGGTAGCACCTCTGAGAAGACTTCCCACCACGTCCAGCAGAAGAATCTGCCCCTTTTCTTCTGTATAGCCATAGCATTTTGTACAAACCACTATCAATATAAAGCTTTTAACACTTTTTAAAAATTACCTCTTAAAATTTAATTTTTTATCAAGGTGTAATATTTGTGGTAAATAGTTATATACTGCTTTCCACGTTCCACTAACTGGGTGGCTTTAAACAACATATATCTCACAGTTCTGAGGCTAGAAGTCCAAAATCAATGGGTTCATTGATGCTCTCCCTGGAGGCTCTGGGGGAGAATCGTCGCATGCCTTTCTCATGGCTCCTGAAGCTGCCAGCAATCTTTGTGTTCTTTGGCTTATAAATACAGCACCCCATTCTCTGCATTCATGTCATATGACATTCTTCTTGAGTCTCTCCCTTCTGTGTCTCTTCTCATCTTCCAATAAGGACACTCGTCATATTGGATTTAGAGGGGGTATAGCTCAGTGGTAGAACATTTGACTGCATATTGGATTTAGGGCCCACCTGACTCTAATAATCATCGTCTTAACTTGATTGCATCTGTAAGGCTCTACTTCCACATGAGGTCACATTCACAGATACTGGAGGTTAGGACTTCAACATACCTTTGGGAGGGCTCAATTCAACCCATAACTTCTATTTTAACTTATTGATCTGCACAACACTCCTATGAGAGATTATCATCACTATCCTATATAATAAAAGCTTAATATGCAAATCAACTGAACAGCGGAACGACTGGTGGAATGACCAGTCACTATGATGCACAGTGACCACCAGGGGACAGATGCTCAATGCAGGAGCTGTCCCCAGACCGCAGGCCCCAGGCCAGCCAAGACAGGTGCAGCGGGGGCCCCTGATCGCCCCACAGATTGGCCCTGATCACTGGCCAGGCCTAGGAACCCTACCTGTACATGAATTCTGTTCTCCAACAGGCCTCTAGTTTTACAAATAAGAAAACTAAAGCTCAAGGTAAAAAAACTTGCTCAAGATCACACAGCTAGTTAGTTGGCTTCATAATCTAACCACCTACACTGTCTCTACATGCAGCAAATAGTTTAAGAGGTGAAATCCACTAAAAGACTTATTACAACAACAGCATAGCAGTTCTCTATCTTATACACTCCTCCACATACACACACACTCATAATTGGCCCACTATCCAGGGACAGCTGCTTTTTTTCTGGTATATATCTCCATATTTCAAGTAATAAGTGTGTATTTCTATTTTTAATTTACCAGTTTCAGACATTTACTGGGTTTGTTTGTTTTTATGGAAAGTGGGGATTTTTCGCTCATGTACTTTTCACCATCATCCTATATAATAAAAGGCTAATATGCAAATCAACTGAACAGCGGAACACGCACTGGTCGCTATGACACGCACTGACCACCAAGGGGCAGACACTCAACGCAGGAGCTGCCCCCTGTGGTCAGTGCATGTCATAGCAACCAGTAGTCCTGCCGTTCAGTCGATTTGCATATTAGCCTTTTATTATATAGGATGATGCAAGAGCTGCCCCCTGGTGGTTAGTGCACTCCCACAGAGGGGAGTGCCTCTCAGCCAGAAGCTGGGCTCATGGCTAGTGAACACAGCAGCGGTGGCGGGAGCCTCTCCCACCTCTGCAGCAGCGCTAAGGATGTCCCCCGAGAGCTCCCGGACTGTGAGAGGGCACAGGCCGGGCTGAGGGACCTCCACGAGTACACGAATTTCATGCACCGGGCTTCTAGTTTCAATATAATTATACATAAACTAGAGGCCCAGTGCACAAATTCGTGCATGGGTGGGGTCTGGCTGCCCCCCTGATGGGGGCCAATTGGGCCAGGCAGGCAGGAGGTTGGCTGGCCAGTTCTACCCCCGATTAGGTGTGGGGGGTCAATCGGGGGCAGGGCTAGCTGGGGGGAGGGGCCAACCCCCAATTGGGCTGGTGGGCCGGCCACAGTGCACATCATAGCGACAGGTCGTTCCAGTCATTCCGGCATTCCTGTCACTTGTTTTATATATATTCTTGATTAAATCTATATTGTTTGCATTACTATGACAATTTAAATGTAATTCACTGCTGAGCCACATAACATATGTTATAAATGTGTTTCCTTTCTTATACTTTTAAAATTAAATTCATTTACCTCTTCCTATACCCTTTAACAATCTGAAAAGATCTTTTTCAATACAATTTTGCATGTGGTCAAGCCTGTCAGATCATCTACACTTGCAGTGTTTTTCTTGGAGGCCTATACTTACCAATTCAGGGATGTCTTTTACTTTCAGAGGAATTTGGATTAAACCCAAATGAGTCCTGAAACTAGGAGAATCACCATTTTCATAATTTGGGTTGCGAAGATTAATTAATACCTTTAAAAACAAACCCAACAAAATTGATTAGTTTTTTATAGAATGTTTACACTTCTAAAATTGGCGGTGATATTCTTGGTGTATCACCACAAAATTAAAAACTATTTGGGGTTAATCATATATTTCAATAACATTCTAAAATACTGTAAAATTGTACTAAAATGTTAAAATACCATAAACATGCTTTTAATTAGGATGGCTTATATTCCAACTGATGATCTATCATTTAATTATAAAAATTTAAGAATTTAATTATAAAGAAAACTTTTTGATGGTTGAAAAAATAAAAAATTGTTTGATTATAACAATTTACCAGGAAAGGTGATAGAAAAATAAAAATTACTCCACTGTAATATTCACCAAGGAAAATTTTAGAACCAACTCTAACCCTTTTAAAAACAAATATTGACAATGTTTTTTAGAAAGATACTAAGGCAATACTGGAAGGTCTCACCTCTAAACCAAACCCACATGGAAAAACAAAAAAAATTTTCAGAAACCAACCTAACAAAAAAGAGACTTTACATACTTTTCAAAATTAAGCAGATAAAATAATTCATAGAAATTTGCATATCCTTTAATCTAGGAATCTCATTTTTATGAGTATAGTTGTGGAAATAATATAAAATATTTGCAAAATAGTGCAGAAAGAATGTTAATGAAATGCTGTTTATAATGGAAAAACATATAACAACTTACACATCCCATTCGAGTGAATTACTTAAACAAATTATGATCAATTCACATAATAAAATACAGTATAATAAGTAATTTATGTAGATAATAACATGAAAAATGTTCATAATGTATTATGTTTTTAAAATTATGATAATTGTGTCTATTGCTGTATGATGGTATTATGAGTAATTTTTATTTAAAATTTTCTTCTTATGTATGTTTTCTTATTTTTCTATCAACATTCATTTGGGGGAAAGAATAATCATCAGTTTTTAAAATATTTTAAAGTTGAAACTCTTGAAGGAAATCAACAATCAAGAATCCAGGGAAGGAAATGATGATGACAGAAAAGCTATTGTATCTGAGGAAGGCATTGAACTGATAACTAATAGTTGATAAAACAGAATGTGCTATAATGCTCAAAGTTTCATAATATTGCAAACACTAAATTGAAACTGAAAAAAATCAATGGCATTTGTTTAAAAAATAAAAGATTTAGCAAAGAATCAACCATGTTAAATACAGACTAATAGAGAACAGCACAATTTCAGACTAATTACACAAATACTGCATGGGGAACTCACAAACACAGACTGGGAAAGAAAAAGAATCTATGAATACATGGCTGATAGGAAAGAGAAAATATTAAAAATGCAGACACTATATTAGTAACTAAGGAAATAACTATAGGAAGTGTTCTTAAATTAAAGAAGAATCCTAGCATAAATAAGAAAAGCTTCAATTCAGCAACAGTTCCTAAGGAGAAAACACAGTTAAAAATAACCATATAAAAATTATATGAAATTTCAGCCCTTAGTGCTAGAAAAGGAAAGAGCTTAGCAGAAATCTTTACTAAGCGAAGAGAAATAATACCATCGCTATAAAGGCAGTTTCTGACCAACTTAACCTCTTTAAATTTAAAAGGAGACTATTTATACTCCAAACAACCTGGTAACATTTCTAACAATGTTTAATGCTGGTAAACTGGTATCAGAGACTACAGGTTCAGAAAAGAAATAAAAATAAAATGTGAAAGATTAATTCGTTCATGTAACAACTATTTATTGAACAAGAATATGCCAAGCCTTGTTCTACCTGTTGGAGATAGAGCAGTTAAAGATAGGAAGGGCTTGCAGCTGGTTTTCTATCTATGCCTATCTCCAGGGATACCTGGGATTGTGGTCAAGATGGGATGGAATGTACTAACTTGTCATTTATAATGTGCTATGTAATAGCCCCTGTGTTTACACTGTTTATTGCCTGGACTAGAACAAGGAGGGAATAAAAAGGGAAAAGATTCCCTGACACCTATACCATGGTATGTGCCAGGCAGCAGGCAACATGACTTAGAGTCACTATTTTTTATGAAAAAATCTTCCTAATGGATTTACTTGCCTCTAATCTTTCCACATTCCAATATATTTTCCAATAGCAATATCCAAACACAGTTATTTCCTTAGTTACTAATATAGTGTCTGCATTTTTCATATTTTCTCTTTCCTATCACCCATGTATTCATAGATTCTTTTTCTTTCCCAGTCTGTGTTTGTCATTCGCTGATCATGTCATTCGCTGCTTCATTGACTTGAGGGCTGTTTACATGGTGATTTCCTCTTCCTAGAGATATTCTTGTATCATCATTTCTTTCACACTTTCCCCTCATTATCATACATATATTTAACCAATAGAACTTACCTCAAGAAAATCCTTAGGTGCATAAACGGGTCTGAAATGGCTTAAATCTAGAATTAAGAAGACAGATTACAAACAAAATTTCAGTTAACATAGTACATGTTCATTAATAATAAATATTAATGATTCCTCCATTCATTACTGTGCAGCTAGATTAATTAAACATTTGTAGAGTGTTGGTTATTTGTCATACCCTGTGTTAAGTATTGGTAACACAAAAATAAAAAGACAGTCCCTCCCCCTTGACAGCCTCGATGGCATATTCTGAAAGAAACTGAGAGTCTCCTACTCATATATTTGTAATAGATTATAACTGAATAAACAATGTCAATATAATATAAAAGTTCTATATGAGAATTCTCAAAGTGCGTAGAATACAAACAATACATTCTCAGTGAATTCCTCTAGTTGTACTGAACTGTCCTCTCTTTTGAACTTCTGTGACACACTGCTTCCTATGTTATTGCTTGCCCAGGCCCCCACACTTATTTTTAAGGAGGATAGTGAGAAATTATGTAGGTGTGTACTTAAGCCATTATATATATTATCATAGTAAAGTATATATAGTTGTCATTAATTATCCTATATAATAAAGAGGCAATATGCAAATTGACCATCACTCCAACACACAAGATGGCTGCCCCCATGTGGTCAAAGATGGCTGGCAGGGGAGGGCAGTTGTGGACGATCAGGCCAGCAGGGGAAGGCAGTTAGGGGCAACCAGGCCTGCAGGGAAGGGCAGTTAGGGGCATCGGGCCTGCAGGGGAGCAGTTAGGAGTCGATCAGGCTGGCAGGGGAGTGCTTAGGGGATGATCAGGATGGCAGGCAGAAGAGGTTAGGGGCAATCAGGCAGGCAGGCAGGTGAGCAGTTTGGAGCCAGCAGTCCTGGATTGTGAGAGGGATTCCAGATTGGAGAGGGTGCAGGCTGGGCTGAGGGACACACACAAACACACCCATGCACAAATTTCATGCACCAGGCCTCTAGTATGTTTATAAAATTGATTGATTCAGTTTTAAACATTAAAATTATCCCACAATAAGTTCTTAAAAACATTTTAGAAGTCTTAGAACTTTACACCAGTTGACCTATCTTTAACATCTCAACAGAAGTAAAGCTTGAAAAATATTTGCCTTAACTATGAATCTAATAAATTCAAGAATGATTTAATTTACTCTTTTATAAAAATGTTTTCAAATGCTGCTTTAAAAAAGGATAATTGCCTTAAATGTTCTCAAAATAAGAGAGAACACTGACCAAAGTTAGGAATTTTTAAACTGCAAAGCAAACAAAACAAATGATAGAAAATTAGTGGGAAAGGAAAGTTGCTATCTGTCCAAAAGTACTGTTAATATTGTTACTTTGGGTCCACAATTACTAAGAATGCAATTTCCCCCCACTACCACATTTTGGAAAAAGCTATTCTTGTACCTGGTTCATCAGTTCCCATTTCATTCCATTTATTGAGAAGTTCTTTCTGTTCTCCAACTGGCCTCTAGAAAAGACAATTTAAAAATTGGTTTCATTTTGTGAAGTTTAGCAATGCAGCTGAAAAATAGGAATCAATAACTCACCTAAAAGTTCAAATAAGGTATTATAACATAAGGAAACATAATTTCATTACACACAAACTTTTTTAGAATTACACTTAAATTATTATTTAACCATTATATCTAGTTTCAGTGGCTCAGTGAATGAGTCCAAGAAAAGAAGGTAAATAATCTGTCCTGGCTGGTAAATTTTACACACAAACACTGCTGCTCAGCCCACATACTACACCGCTTACCCCCTCCAGCAATCTCAGAAATGCATTGCAAAGGGGACTGGCCTAGAGAGTGTGACTGAGTCAGTGGCATCATCTTCCTATACGAAAGATAGTATATTACACAATACTACCTACTTAGACAGTTTTTAGTATAAATTTATCTTTTTTAGCACCATCCTCTGGTGTCTTCAGTGACTTGTCCTTGGTTATTATCCAAAGTACATCCACTATATTCTATTCAACAGCAGGGAACAAATAGCAGGTAAAAAGAACCAAGTGAAGAGAAACTTATTCTCTCCTACTTGGGAGCAGCTAGAAAGAATCCAGAACATTCCTCACGTGGCTTTTCTCTCCTTTTTCATCTCTCCCCGCTCAAAGCCCCAACTGACAGATAAATGTTGAGTACTAGATCTAAGTAAAGCTAATACTATTCCATCTAAATAGTTCTGTAGAGAGATAACAAATCATTCTTTTCATTGCCTATGTTAACACTGAAAGATGGCATCATGTTTGCTATTACAAGAGGACAGTATGCCTGAACTCCATGTCTAATTAAAAAATATGGCAATTTTGCTAATTAACCAGAAAATAATGAGTCAACACGTTACTGAAATCTTTAATGTCCACCTATAACCTTTACAGCCAAATCGCTAAATAATTTATAATACAGATTCTATACTTTATTTCTACTTATTCTCAAGTTATAGGTTTATTATAAAAAACCTTACAGCATACATAACAGAAATCTATATAGAATACACCCACATAATTAATATTTTATATATTTTTTGTTTTAAAACAAATTGATATACTAGCAAAAAAGATAAATCTGCCTAAGTTATAACTTCATGATACTTTCCAGTGCTTGATTTACAATCAAATATATAAATATTAAAAGTACCTTTCGTGCCAATGGGATACTCAGTTCAGTGCACATACTATTTAAACTCTTCAAAATCCTTTTTTCCCAACTTCCCTGAAACATAAAGAACAATCTATTATTGTTTCTGGTTAACAATACTGAAACTGATTTTTAAAGTTAGTAAAAAAAAATTAAAGATATTATGAGTTATACAGAAATGGTGAGGTTGGTTGAGATTGGTTATCTTCATACCTTAGTTCAGTCAACAAATGTGGATTACAGCCTACTATGTACCAGCTTTTCCACTTGCAAAAATTTCAACCAGATGGTTAAAGAAGTCATTTCCATAGACACCAGAAACAGAAATAGAATTTCCTGACAATGAAGGGAAATCCAAGAAGAAAGTGGCTGCTTTCAAGCTGGGTCAACCTTTAGGTTCCCTCAAGAACTCTAATCTCAATTAAGTGGTATTTATTCATTCCTTTGTTTACTCGCTGGCTCACTGACTAACATATATTGAATGCTTTCTATATATATATGCTATGCACAAAACTAGGACCAGTGTGGAAATGTAATAAGGAGCCTTTGACTAGTTATTATAAGAAAGAAACTCCCCAACAAGTGGAATGACTTAACCAAATGGCTTAAATCCATGACACTGTGAGTTCTGTTTCCAGAAGTACTTGAGCTAAAGGCGATAAACTCCAGAGGTTGCATTGGGTAAACCCGAAGGTCTATTTCAGCTCCAGTTTTATAGATACTTAATTTTCCTCAGGTTGTATTTGTAAAAGTGACTAAACCCTAACTCTGAAAAATAAATGCTCAAAAAAATCATAGTTATTTGTGTGCTATTAAATTAAAATTTTAATATACACTTAGCATCCCCAAAAAAGCAAATAAGCTCTTGAAAAATGATAGTTCATTAATACAAAATAAAAAGAAAGTAATGTTTTCTACCCAAAAGACTTATAAAATAAATAAAGCTTTAAAATGTTATTTAGAAGGAAAATAAATGGCCTTTTACATTTAAAATGTTTAAATAGGAAGACATTACCTCTTACCCAAACTCATATCCTCGCCAAATGAAATTATTGTTGGCTTCAAATCAGTTTCCCTAATAATTGGAATGTATGATATTAACTCAAAGGATTTCAAGAGTTTTATAAATAAGGTAATTTCTAAGCCATGAGAGGCAAAAGATTAATAAAAGAATCATAATTGTATAAAAATCTTTAAATGGGGATTAGCTATCACCTTGCTATATTTTTATAACAATGTAAGTAAATAGTCTTTTAAAATTGTATAATATTTTGTTTTTATTTTTTTTATTTTTTAAATATATTTTATTGATTTTTTTACAGAGAAGAAGGAAGAGGGACAGAGAGTTAGAAACATCGATGAGAGAGATCGATCAGCTGCCTCCTGCACGCCCCCTACTGGGGATGTGCCCGCAACCAAGGTACATGCCCTTGACCGGAATCGAACCTGGGACCCTTGAGTCCGCAGGCCGACGCTCTATCCACTGAGCCAAACCGGTTCGGCGGTTTTTATTTTTAAAGATTTTAATGTTGACATTATTACAGGAGTCCCCCTCCCCCCACTGTATAATAAATATGCAGCATGTAAAAAAAATGACTTTGAAACTATGAAATTAAAAAATTATTTTCTTTACGCTGACAAAAAATAAAGTAAAACAAAATAATAATAGCTCAGGTACTTAATAAAAATATTTTAGTAATTCTTTGATTACAAATGTAACACATTTATTTAAGATAATTTGGAAAACAGACTATGTAAAGAATAAAATAATAAATACATATCAACAAATTTCCATCATCCAAAAATAACCATTGTTAACATTTTATTCTCTTCTTTTATTTTTTCTATGTATGTATATATAATTGAGATATATATGTGTGTATACATATATATACTCATGTACATTCTTAAAGTGGAATTATATTGTCATATCTTTTTATTTTTCCATTTAAGATTACATTCTATGCACTTTCCTATTTTGTAATTTCCTCAAAAATGATATTTTTGATGCCTGTATAATATTATCTGTTGGAAATGCCATGTTATATTTCAGCAAGCCCTATTGCTATTCATTTAGATTCTTTTAAAGTTTTTACTCTTATCATGAATATAAATTTCTGTTTCTCTGATTCCTTTAGATAAGATTCTAGATGAATTATACTAGGAAAAGAGGTATAGATATTTTTAGGAGGGAACATTTTCTTTTTTTGTTTATTCAATTCATTCAACATTTTAAGTAATATGTATTGAGCATCTACCATGGGACAGACACTGTGCCAGATGTTGGAGATACAGCTGGGAAAGAGAGACTGATGCTGTTTCACAAGGACTTCAGAACCTAGTAATAATACAAACTACCCAAGTATTTCACAAGGACTTCAGAACCTAGTAATAATACAAACGACCCAAGTATTTCACAAGGACTTCAGAACCTAGTAATAATACAAATGACCCAAGTATTGTGGTAGGAAGTACAGGGTGCTTCCCATGTGGAGGACTACAGACAGGAAGAGTTAACTGAGCATCTGATATCTGGGGGGTCAGGGAGCCTTTCAAAAGAAACTACCATCTAACCTGATCCCTGAAGAATATGCATAAGTTGGCTAGAAATACATGGGGAGTTTCAGGTAGAAGCAGCAGCATAAGCAATGGTTCTGCTGGAACAACTGGGAGAGGTCAAGTATGATTAGACAGAGAGAATGTACATGTGTGTGGAAGTGGGGAGGGAAGTGGGAACATGGGGAGGGGCAGTGTGAGTAGGCAAGAGATGAGACTTGAATCATAAAAAGGGGCAAGACCAGTTACAGCCTGGTAAGCTAAAGTAAAGGGATGGAATTATATCCTAAAAGTCTTAGAAGTTTTAAGAGGTGGAGTGACAATAAGACAAAAAGACCAATTAGAAAGGGAATGAGAATTGAAATAATATAAAACTAACAAACTTCCTATTTTTGCTTAGGTTACTGGAGTGATAGAAAACAGAGTAAATTCAGCCACATAGCATACCTTAAGTTTGCCTGAAGGTTTCTGGACTGTACAGAGAAACAGGCTGAATACCATCTGGAACCAGAATTCCAGGTTCAAATCCCAACTCTTTCACCTACTAGTTTTGTGAAATTGAATGAAAGATCATAAGAGTAACTCACCTCAAAAGCTTGCCATGATGATTAAGTGTGTGAATACTTGTAAAGCCCTAGAACGGCACCTGCCACACGATTAGAGCTCCATGTGCTTACTAATACTATTTCACAAGAAAACTCAGGAACTTGTATTTATCATGCTGTGTATCCTTTTCTTCATAATGCTTTCTCTGAAGGATGTAGCAAAGTAGTTCCCAAGGTATTTTACATGGAAATGGGGTTCCATGGTCATGTAAGTTTGAACAACACTGGACTAAATCAAACTGAACAGTTTCTTTACTGAAGAAATTTTTGAGCCTTTAACATTCAGAACAGATTGTAAGCAACAAAATTAAGAAGTTTTCAATTAAAACCCAAAGTATAAAGTAAATATCCATGAGTTTATACTGATATAAATAATTAAATAAACAGAGTGGGGGGGGAGAGAGAGAGAGAGAGAGAGAGAGAGAGAGAGAGAGAGAGAGAGAACTCTTCCATAAGGAAAAATTCTAAATAATTTGTTGATACTCCCTCCTCAAGGAAGCAAGAGCATAACTACCCCTCCTTAAGTGTGGACTACACACAGTAACTTCCTTCCAAAGAGTAAAGTATACAGAGGGGGGAGGGAGTGACTTTACAGTGATGAAACCTCACAAATACTACCTCTGCCAGATGATCAAGGTCAATATTAACAACACTTCCTAGCCACCTCCCCTAGAGCACACAGCACTTCCTACCTTACATTACAACTACCTATGTCCAAATCTTCTTAAACCATGAAGTTATCTAAAGGCAGAATCTAAGTTATTTCTGAATCTCCATAGCACATAGCAGAGTGTCTTCTCCTACTAGGTATTTATTTAGTAAATATGTTTTAAATGAATATTGTAATCATTGGCAGAAGAGATTGCAAATGCCTTTACTATTTATTCAACATAAACTTACTAAGATCCTGCTATATAAAAGTTAGCATACTAGATATAATGGGCATACAAAAATGTTTTTACATCATTACTGCTTTCAAAAGACATAAATTTCAGAATGATATGTACAGAAATTACTCTAATGGAATGCAATTGGTGAAAAGGGCGACGAAATGATTGTGTGCTACAAGAGGGCAAAGAGGGAGAGACACTTTTCAACAGTGGTGTAACATCAGAGATGTCATCTGAGCTGATCCTCACAAAGTAAATAGGGTTTTCATAACGCAAATCAGGCAGAAAGGGCTTTCCATGATGATAAAAAAAATAAGAAAGGTATTAAAGATGTAAGAGGGGAAGACAAAATAATTCACTTGGATGGGCACATAGGACAGTTATAAGACAGCAAATACTGATAAAGTGAAAGGGACACTGGAACAAATAGTAAAAATTCTTAAATGTTGGGCTTTGGAATAGGAAAATTAATTTGTTTAGGCAATTGGTGGGAGTCACTAAAAGTTTGTAGAGCAGTGAGATACATTA